TGACTGATGACCTGTGATGCAGGGCTGGGTAACACTACCTACCTCACAATACAAAACACATTGCATTATATGTAAAAACACTGTAGGATCATAATTGTCTCTGCTCAAAATTTTGAAATAATATTAGTATTTAACTTCAATAAAAAGGGCAAAACTAATTAAATGGTCCAGAGAGTGTGAATCTGCATGATCACCTTCAATCTATTTTAAACAGTTAGCATTTCCAGAGTTTCCATTTATTTCAATGAGACTCTTCATTAATAGATCAACACATTATGTAAATGCAAAAATAAAAAAATATATACACAAGATGCATGGTTTTAAAGCAGTGGTTCTCAACCTCAAACTTTCAAGAGGGCCGCAGGATGACTTAAACTTATTGAAATTAATAAATTATTATCTAAGCTAAATTCAAAGGTTAAAAAAAACACACAAAACCAATTGTTACAGTATATAATTGTCAATGGTTCTGTAAGTAATTTGACTGTACTAAAGCATAAAACTATCATAACGTTTGCATATATTTAGGAAACATGCTAAGTTCAATTACTTGTTACTCAGAAAAACAATGCTACAGCCAATTATTCTACTCTGAAATGTATTTTCCATGTCGGTATGTCTGTTTTTGTTTTGGTCTGTGCGATTCCACCCTCTGCCAATTTACCTAATTGTATTTCAACACAGTGTATTTCAGCCATGGAAGCCAGCAAACAAACGGACAGAGATCGCAGATTCCACCCGACCTACAAAGCTTCAGCATCTATCTAAAAAGCTAAAACGCTTTTTGACCAGAGGCCTTCTCACCTTCTCTTGTCAATTGCTCATGTAAGTGTTGAGTCTGAGGAGTTGTCAACTGCTAGTTGTCAATATTATATACTACAACTTTAAAGGGGACCTATTATGCCTATTTTTACAATATGTAATATAAGTCTCAGGTGTCCCCAGAATGAGTCTGTGAAGTTTCAGCTTAAAATACCCAACAGATCTTATATTGTAGCATTTCAAATGAGCAAAAACACACCATTTTCGTGTGTGTAACTTTAAATGCAAATGAGCTGCTGCTTCCGCCCCCTTTCCAGAAGAGGACAGAGCCTTTACAGCTCCTGCTTCAGATTCATGAAATATGCAGAGTGATCGTTTTCGGCATAAATCTAATAAGCTCTCTGTGAATGCAGTCAGAGACAGTGGAAATTTGAGCCACATTAGCTGTACAGCATGCTAACAAGCACATCCGGATACACTATTTGGAAACATTCAGAAAATATGAGGCAATTCTTACTTGTTTTGGATATGATGTTTGAGCATGAACAGCTGGTATTGACAGATCTTTCAGAATCAGCTTCTGTGCAAATCTTGTGTTGAACTGACCCTTGTTTATGAAGCAGTCCGGTATAAAATTATTTGCACAAATATATAAGACTCTTTGGCACATTTCCTTCCATAAATTAAATTCATCCACAATGTTCTCCGTGGCTCAGATGCCGTGAGTCTTTGGAGACTCTTATTTATACATCCAAAAACAACATTTGTAATGCTTATGTGGCACAGACAGTATATAAATAGGCGCTATACCAATAATATAAACATGGCGGACTATGTGGTTCTATCAGGGCGGGGTCAATGCGAATAGGGCAGATCGTCACTAGCCATGGGCGAGGCTTGTCCCCTAGGGCTGTAGTACTCGAGTCCGGTCTCGAGACATTTTTCTATCGTCTCGGACTCGTTGGTGTTTGCACTCGGACTTGTCTCGGACTTGGTCATTGGACTCGCCAAATGTTCTCGTTGGTCTCGACCGAGTCCAGCAATATGCTTTTTTTCTCCTTCAAAACAAAACCCCATTTGCATGTCGTGCCTGAAAACGTGTGGAAAACGCTAGGCCCGCCGCTTTCTCCTTCTTTCCAAAGCACTCTGTAGCCTGCGCTCTGTGCTGGCGCTCCCGTGGCGTCTGCCGTTGCTAATGACCTGCGCTCTCCATGAAGACGCGGAAGTTTCAGCAAAGGAGAAATGGATTTGCAGCACTAAAAATCCCTTGTGGTAGCTCTGCTACTAAATTGCTAAAATAGCTATCCTTGTACAGCTATGATCAGCTGTTTCTCCGTCTTGGCTTAGCTTTCAATTTTGTT